GTTTTTCCACTTAATAAGTATCTTCTCCTCATCATACAAACTTTCGTGTCACTACTGCTTTATTTTTCCGATCGATCACCGAGCAAGATTTTAAAAATAAAAAGCTGATTTTCGGTAACAATTATCTAGAATTTTTCGACATATTTGCCTTCTGGTTAGCGCTCAACGGATATTTTATTATTAGGCCAGAAAGACCCCATGTCTCTGCATAACGTATGCCCCATCAAAATGGTTTTCGCATTTTGGAATTATCATATTTCCAGATGGAAAAGTTAAATTGTAATGCGACNAAGCTGATTTTCGGTAACAATTATCTAGAATTTTTCGACATATTTGCCTCCTGGTTAGTGCTCAACGGATATTTTATTATTAGGCCAGAAAGACCCCATGTCTCTGCATAACGTATGCCCCATCAAAATGGTTTTCGCATTTTGGAATTATCATATTTCCAGATGGAAAAGTTAAATTGTAATGCGACAAAAAACTGTATGGACAAATACGAAAGCAGACTTAAACCCTAAAGAATTTGACATGATTAAAATATATATTATTAAATATTGTTTAATATCGATTTTTATGTTCCCAAGTTATAGTAAGAATAATTTAGAATGGAGATTTTCTTGGCGGTATAAAATTTAAAAGAAGACAGAAAACTTAGGCCCGTGAAAAAGTCAAACATTCCACATTTTTTCATCGGGTACCAAGAAATAAAATTATCAATAACCCTGTATTATTTTTAATTTGCTTACTCTGTGCAATTATTATGGTGGCAATACAATTTGATTGATAGACGACGTTTGAAAATAACACACAAATAATTATTAGTTATGAGTTATTTAGAAGCATATACTAAATTTAATACCGTATTAATTTAAGGATCCTTCTGAAAATTGCAATATTTAGGATATTAGGTATTTCTCGTCATCGAATTTAATAATAATATCCAGCAAAAGCAGATCGTGTAAGCTGTGTCTTTTTATATTTTCGTTAATGTCAAAACGTACAATGGTATTTCACCACATAATAAAAAGCCGGACTTCGGCTGTATTAAGGTTAACCATAGAAACACGGACGACATATTAATACTTAATCTATAATCAATCGTTCGATACATTATACGGGCCGAGGAAAACAGGGATAAAATTACAGAGAATAAAAAATTTGAAAACAATGTTTCTGAAAATGTTAATACTTCCCGAGGTAATAACACCAACGATATTTGTCAATAATTCATTGTAAAATTTTTTTTTATATCAAAAATACGTTTGACCTATACATATCATAATAGCATAATATTTGAAATAGTAAATGTATATGCACAATTTTCTTTATTTTTTTTAAAATCCGGAATTCAAAAAATTAAAAAAAACTTGTTTTAATAGGAATAATTAAATTTTGTTTAATTATTAAAGAACGATTTAATAAATCTATAAGAATGAACATGAATAATCCCATTTATAAAATTTCTTTGGAAAAGGGTAAGTTTATTTGTGTACAATTTTGCGATATGCGTTTTCATTATTGAGGTTTTTCCACTTAATAAGTATCTTCTCCTCATCATACAAACTTTCGTGTCACTACTGCTTTATTTTCCCGATCGATCACCGAGCAAGATTTTAAAAATAAAAAGCTGATTTTCGGTAACAATTATCTAGAATTTTTCGACATATTTGCCTCCTGGTTAGCGCTCAACGGATATTTTATTATTAGGCCAGAAAGACCCCATGTCTCTGCATAACGTATGCCCCATCAAAATGGTTTTCGCATTTTGGAATTATCATATTTCCAGATGGAAAAGTTAAATTGTAATGCGACAAAAAACTGTATGGACAAATACGAAAGCAGACTTAAACCCTAAAGAATTTGACATGATTAAAATATATATTATTAAATATTGTTTAATATCGATTTTTATGTTCCCAAGTTATAGTAAGAATAATTTAGAATGGAGATTTTCTTGGCGGTATAAAATTTAAAAGAAGACAGAAAACTTAGGCCCGTGAAAAAGTCAAACATTCCACATTTTTTCATCGGGTACCAAGAAATAAAATTATCAATAACCCTGTATTATTTTTAATTTGCTTACTCTGTGCAATTATTATGGTGGCAATACAATTTGATTGATAGACGACGTTTGAAAATAACACACAAATAATTATTAGTTATGAGTTATTTAGAAGCATATACTAAATTTAATACCGTATTAATTTAAGGATCCTTCTGAAAATTGCAATATTTAGGATATTAGGTATTTCTCGTCATCGAATTTAATAATAATATCCAGCAAAAGCAGATCGTGTAAGCTGTGTCTTTTTATATTTTCGTTAATGTCAAAACGTACAATGGTATTTCACCACATAATAAAAAGCCGGACTTCGGCTGTATTAAGGTTAACCATAGAAACACGGACGACATATTAATACTTAATCTATAATCAATCGTTCGATACATTATACGGGCCGAGGAAAACAGGGATAAAATTACAGAGAATAAAAAATTTGAAAACAATGTTTCTGAAAATGTTAATACTTCCCGAGGTAATAACACCAACGATATTTGTCAATAATTCATTGTAAAATTTTTTTTTATATCAAAAATACGTTTGACCTATACATATCATAATAGCATAATATTTGAAATAGTAAATGTATATGCACAATTTTCTTTATTTTTTTTAAAATCCGGAATTCAAAAAATTAAAAAAAACTTGTTTTAATAGGAATAATTAAATTTTGTTTAATTATTAAAGAACGATTTAATAAATCTATAAGAATGAACATGAATAATCCCATTTATAAAATTTCTTTGGAAAAGGGTAAGTTTATTTGTGTACAATTTTGCGATATGCGTTTTCATTATTGAGGTTTTTCCACTTAATAAGTATCTTCTCCTCATCATACAAACTTTCGTGTCACTACTGCTTTATTTTCCCGATCGATCACCGAGCAAGATTTTAAAAATAAAAAGCTGATTTTCGGTAACAATTATCTAGAATTTTTCGACATATTTGCCTCCTGGTTAGCGCTCAACGGATATTTTATTATTAGGCCAGAAAGACCCCATGTCTCTGCATAACGTATGCCCCATCAAAATGGTTTTCGCATTTTGGAATTATCATATTTCCAGATGGAAAAGTTAAATTGTAATGCGACAAAAAACTGTATGGACAAATACGAAAGCAGACTTAAACCCTAAAGAATTTGACATGATTAAAATATATATTATTAAATATTGTTTAATATCGATTTTTATGTTCCCAAGTTATAGTAAGAATAATTTAGAATGGAGATTTTCTTGGCGGTATAAAATTTAAAAGAAGACAGAAAACTTAGGCCNGTTTTTAAAATGTAATTGATAGTTCTATCTAATCTGACATTCATTCGGACTAGTCGTCTACAGTTTTATCCGCTCCGTTATCGTATACCTATTTCTATATCATGAATTGTTCAAAGTGCAATTGTGATTTGGCTACTGCCGACTGTGTTAAATGTTCAAAATGTTCTAAGCTATTCCATATTGCGTGCTCGTCTATCGTGGGTTTAACGGGCAGTATTCTTAAATTTCGTTGTTCTTCGTGGCTGTGCACTATCTGCGAGGGTGCAAGACTTGGAGTTAGAAAATCTCCGGTTACTAAATCAGTTTTAGATACCGATTATATATCTAAAATTAATAGCATACTTCGGCTGTAAATGATATAAAAAAATCGGTTTCTAAGCATGATTCGTCATTTTTGGTGCTCAATAATAAACTTGACGATGTTTCTGGTCAACTGCGGGACTTGGGGGTTCGTACTTCAGTGCTCGAGGATAGAGTTACTCAGCTGGAAAATCGTTTGTCTAGCGTTGAATCTACGAGCTCTCCCTCGGACGAGTCCATAATATCTGAAGTTATCGATCGGCAGGCAAGAGCTCGAAATTTAATTATTTTTAATGCTCCAGAACCAGATGGAAATAACGAAAATGATATATCGCTTATAAAATCTGTCTTCCATGTTTTAACTCCTAACATTGCTCCAGCAATAGTCTCTAGACTGGGTCAAAAGACAAGCAAACCTCGGCCACTTAAAGTTACTTTACATGAGCCTTCCGATATTTTTATTATACTAAAAAATAAACACAAACTGCGTACGTCCCCTATATATGGTTCCATTCGTATTTCTCCAGATCGTACAATTATGCAACGAAATCAACTTCGTGATATCATGGGGAAAATCGAGGAACGTAAAGCAGCCGGTGAATCCAACTTAGTGATGAAATTTGTCAAAGGTGTACCAAACATCACAAAAAACTAACAAACGGGCCAGTTCACAAAAATTTAAATGTCTACTATCAAAATGTCGCGGACTCAATACCAAATTAAATGTTTTAATGCGTAATGTATATTTTTCTGACTTTGATTTTATCGGCTTATCTGAAACTTGGTTATCTCCAAATATCAATTCGTTTGAATTAGGTCTTTTTTGCTATAATACTTATCGCAGCGACCGAAACCAGAATACGAGCAGTCGTTCTAGAGGTGGGGGTGTTCTTTTATCTGTCAATAATAAAGTTCATTCTCGTTCATTACCTCTACTTATCAGTTCGGTTGAACATATATTTGTCATTGTTAAAAAAAACAATAGTTATATTATAATAGGTAATGTGTATTTTTCACTTCATACGGATATATCAATTTACGATGAACATTTTAACATTTTTAATAATTTATTTTTAAATTTTCCTTATGTTAAAAACGTAATTATGGTCAGCGACTACAATTTTCCTAATTTTCAGTGGCTCACTAGCTCTATTGGTTTTTTTCCTAATTTACTTAACTTAAGAAATTTTGAGTCGGAATTCTTATCAAAATTATCTTTTCTAAATATTTTTCAATTTAATAATGTCCATAACAGTACTGGTTCAATGCTTGACTTACTTCTTTCTGGCCGTAATAATTTATCTGTAAAGAAATCTGTAAATTCTCTTGTTCCGTGTGACATCTATCATCCGGGCCTTTTAATTTTCATTCCCATAGTAATAAATGAACCAATTGAGTATAATTTGTGTATGTATAACTTTTTTAATTGTAATTATGAAGATATAACTTTTAGTTTAGCTTCGATAGACAAATTGACTATGACAAATTATTTAAAGTTCTTAGTATAAATGAAGCTGTCGGCTTGTTCTATTCTACTATTTATGACATAATTGATATATTTGTAACAAAAATAATTAAACGTCAGTCTAACTATCCACCATGGTATAGAAAAAATTTAAAATAATTAGTATTTAAAAAAAAAATTGCTCATAAAGTGTATAAGAGTTCGGGTTTGGTGAGTGACTACAATACTTTTTCAAATCTTCGTGGAAGATGTAAGTTTCTTTCGAAAAAAGATTATACGAATTATATAAATACAATTCAAACAAATTTAAAAACCAGTCCGAATCAATTTTGGAAATTCATAAACAGTAAGCGTAAAAATAATTTTCTGCCGAACAGTATGCATTTAAACTCGGATCAATATGATAATCCCAATGATATTGTTAATTCCTTTGCTAATTACTTCTCTAGTGTGTATGAAAATTACGATTATGGCAATGTTAATTTTAATCCGCATAATCTTCCTAAGGTTCTTTTTTCTTCTTTTCACTCTTGTTCGATTAGTTTAATTGAGGTATTTGAATCACTTGACTCATTAAGTTCCAATTTTAGCCCTGGTCCTGATTTAATTCCAAACATATTTCTAAGAAACTGTAAATTTGTTATTTCTTCACCTTTACAATACCTATTTAATTACTCACTATCCCTCGGAATTTTCCCTGATGCTTGGAAAACTAGTTTTATTCGACCAATTCCTAAGTCTTCTTCTGATCTATCCAACATTGCAAATTACCGTCCAATATCCTTGCTTTCACTTATACCTAAAATATTTGAATCTATAGTTGCACACAAGGTTTTACCAGTTTTGAATCATGGAATCATAAATGATCAACATGGTTTTAAATTTCCCAATTCGAATCTGAATTGTACTGATAAATATTCACTGCATCTCACGTAATGCGGGAAGTTAAACAAGTGCCTAAAGTAAAACCTGAAGTTTTCCGGGTTTAGATAAATGAAACTTATTCCGAGTAATTGCATCTTATTAGATGTATTCGCACTCATGAGGAGCAAGTTATGGAAACTGAAATTATAAATGATAA